CCTAAGGTGACTTGTGCGTCCTCTGCACACATAGCGCCTCGACCCGTGCAAAAAAGAACCACGCGGCGGGGGCCTACGCTGAGGAAACAGCATCAACCTCATCCCGAACCCAGGGTATGATCCTGCTTAGCCCCGACAGGTACGACCTCTGTCCCACTGCAGAGTAAGCGCCCACAGGCAGCAGAGAGCAAAGTATACATCCAGGCGCCTAGGCGAGGACCTCAGTCCTATGGAGGGTAAAAGGGTCTACTATGACTAGCCGGAGGCATTGGAGACTGGAAGGTCATATGAAAAGACCACCCCAGTAGCACCACCTCAAGGTCGGCTCCCCCTGGACAAGTCATCCTAGAGCCTGGGTGAAGAGACAGTATGCATGGACAAACCCCAATGTGTAGCGCTGGCTCAAGCCTTTTTGAACAAGGGTAGAATCGCTATTTTGAATAGGGTCAACTCCAATGGCGGTTGATTCAGCCTCGTTGCTTAGCACACCGGCAGAGAGCGAAGCCTCTATGACCTGTTAGCTCCTGCTCACCACCTTGGCTGGTACTGAGCTATCTATCCCATTGAACATTGCGCAGTACTGGGGAGGCCCTCTGTGGGCTGCTAGGGTTTTTGGACCCCAAACTGGTGTCCAGAAAAATCACTTTTTTCGATCCCTTGAAGGAGCAAAAAGTTTCGAAAACCCATGAGGTTGCTGGGGAGAAAGCGTTTGGCCTGTATGATGTTCTTGATCGAAAGCAATCAAGCTTACGGATCAATGGTCAGCTGCTTTTTTCGGCAGTCTGATTGCAGCCTTGCACGCTTGGTGCATGTTTGTTTGCTACAAAGCTTGTGGTGGGCATCCGCCTGAGACCAAACGTTGTGAACCCATTCTTCGTATTTTGTGGTCTGTCTCAATTTTGGATGAGAGGAAAGAAGGGTGGGGAGATGTTAAGCGAAGGTTTGGCGCCGTGGAGCCTGTCATGTTTGCGTATGTTTACAGGAGCCATCTCTGGTCGTTCACTATGGCAAGGAAACCTTGTTTCGTTTTATTTGACGTCGTTGTTTGATGCATGTTGTGAAGGATGGGGTTTTGAAAAGATATTGTTGAGGTTTTGAGCTCGCGTCCTTGATGTTTGTTGCAAGCTACGCCAGGCTTCCGCCCGGTTCCCGGTTCCATCTTAGCGTCAACGTTCAAATTTTCCCTTGCAACGCGCTATATAGTGTTTTTGCGGTTACAATCAAGCTCTGTGTTGGGTCTGGACCGTCTATTACAGTGCGCGGTACCACCTCGGTACCACTTCATTACGGCTCGGGCCCTTTATTACAATGCGCGGTACCGCCTCGGTACCGCTCGGGCCCTCTATTGCAATGCGCGGTAAGGCCTCGGTACCGCCCGGGCCCTCCATTACAATGCGCGGTACCGCCTCGGTACCGCTCGGGCCCTCTATTACAATACGCGGTACCGACACCCCGTTTGCGTTTTACAAAGGTTTAATTGGATCAGAGTGAGGAACTACACAAAGACTAACAGAAAGCCACGAAACGCAACCTTAACATTGTAGTCCCGGCGCTTCTTCAAACGAGGCGCTCCACACTTGCGCCAAGGCATTCCAATTGTACTTCGCGCTCAACCATTCTTAACAAATGCTTGGGCGTGCGCTTGGCCATTGACGTATCCAAAGATGAGTTGCGTTTTCGGCGGAATTTGTGGCCTTCATTTTGGGGTCCAAAAACCCTAGCAAAACCGGGCTCGCCATGGACGGCCTCCCCACTTGAACTTGAACTGTTGAACTTCAACTGGGGAGGCCACTTTGGCGCCCGGAATCCATTGCGTTTTTGGCCCTGGATTTTAAACCCAAGATTTTCGCTTGCGTCGCGGCCCGGTTGTTCTGGCATGGTGACGACAACGCCCAGTGTTTTGGTTGGGCGGTTGCTTGTCGTTGTTGGTTTGGGTGAACGTGAAAAGGTTGGCTCTGTGTAAGTCTGTTGGATGTTGTTTGGTTCTTGGTTGTAGGTTTGGGTAGAGGACCTCGGTTGGAGAACCAGTTTTGTTTTCCCGGGGAATATGCGCGTGTGTGGCCATTGGGCCGGAGATTGGTGTTCACCGTGTATTGGCGCAGGTTTGACACGTTAACTTTCCAATCGATAATTGTCCACTTCTTTGTGGCACTTGCCCAAAAAAATGTCACGGGGCCTCGCTTCCACCACAAGCAGGTCGGACTGGAGACCACTAGTATCCAAAAGCAAGTCGGCATAGTGGTCCTGCAAACTTGTTTTATTCTATAAATAATTCTATTCTCCCACAGCGTGATTGCAGGACCCGTGCTCTCTCCCTGCAGTTTCCACTCCAGCTGGTCCTGCGCGGCCCTGCGTCAGCGCCACCCGGCTTCCAGAGACCAGCTGACTGATCAGGAACAATGTGAAGCGGCCAAGCGGATCACGACGCGTGCGAAAATCTTGTCCGTTGACGGCCCCAAAACCAAGCGCCAAAAAAGGCAGTGGATTCCAGAGTCGCCAAAGTGGGCCTCCCCAGATCAAGAACATGTGTGGGCATAAACGTTCGCAGGGCGTGGAGAACAATTGCTCGCGGCGCTGCAAAACCATGGAAACCCAGTGGCCCAGCGGTATGCAAAACTTCTGTCGCGTACCTGCAGAAACAATCGAAACTTGCAGTATTTTTCGCCCGGCGGCAAAAAATTTGCCGACAATACGGCCCCCGTTTTGGTGTCCAGAAACGGACCCCAAAACGGGGGCCAAGTCGTCCGGACACAAGCAAATCTAATTGAGACTGAACGAGTGGCCTCCATTTTGGGGTCCGTTTCTGGACCCCAAAACGGGGGCCGTTTTGTCGGCAAAATTTTGGCCACCCGGCGAAAAATAGCAAGAATTTCGATTGTTTCTGCAGCAGGCACTTGTTCTCCACACCCTGCGAACATTTATGTCCACACATGTTCTTGAACTGTATGACCGGTTTGCTGACCTCGAGGACCACATTTAGTCGACTATCTAGCCACGGTCACTAGGTTAGATGTCTTTGGAAGTGAGGCAGACTTGGTTCATCTGAACACACAAGAATACCTGGAAGACCCAATGGGATGCCTTGCAAGTGAACACGGGCTTCAATCTGGTCGTCCGGAAATGCTTAGAGGTCTATCAGTCCAAAGAAGACTTCGAAGAGTACAAATACCAGGACTACCCAAAAGCAGTCAAAACCCCAGCTAATGACTCAGGGGTTATCCCAGCTAGTGCCTTCTGTGCAGTCCCTCGGTTGCGACATTGCGACTGGCATATGGATTCGGTTTGAAGCAGTTTTGCATCGACAGGACTGGATGGCACTCAGCTGCTTCGGGCGTTATTTACAGACCAAGCTGACCCCCGTGTCAGTAAGGAGAGCACCGTCCAACCCAAGGGGGGTGTTTCCACACGGAAGCGTGCCGACCGAGAAATGCGATTTGGCACCCAACCAATCAACCTCCTGCAGCTCCTGCCTCTACCACAAGAGCAAAGCCGGGCCGTCTCAACAGGGGGAGCAGTTGTCTGAAAGAAGGGGACTGTCAGGAGGGACAACCTAAATCTAGGTTCCGCCCCCCACCCCGACCTTTTGCGTATCCCAAAACAAGCAGGCAACGACGCAGACACAAATCCAAGGAAAAATCACCCAAGACAGCGGCAGGGGTCGCCCGCATCCGGATGGATACTTGCAAGCAGCAGGGCAGTGAAAAGCAGTCCACTCAGCTCCGCGTGCAAGGTGGTCAAAGGATCAGCCATGCGACGCTGCACATCCGCGGGACGCGAGGTATTTTTTTGCACGGGTCGAGGCGCTATGTGTGCAGAGGATGCACAAGTCACCTTAAGCTAGTAAAGAGAGAGTTACGAACAATTCACAAAATCCAAATATGTTTATAAACTGTTTCATGGCTAAGTAACCCTTACTTAGGGAAGTAACCCTTGCTTTGCTGAGTAGCTCTGGCATGCTCAAGGGGGTTCGCAACAGAAGTGTTTTGTTTTTCTTTTGACCATCCTCTTTCAAATCATATGTTCAATTTTTTTGTTAGTTTTTGTTACATTGTCTAATACCGTTTTTAACTGTTTTTGGACATTTGGTGAACATGTCAGTTATTGACAGGGGCCTCCAGGCGTCCCTCTTTTGTTGCGCTGCTTCAATGGGCATTTTGAACTGGATCTGTGACGAATCTGAAGAGTGAATTTGTGATGCCAGTCTTTGAAACGTTTCCCGACAAAGAAGGGATAGTGCATTATTTTTACTACGT